CTATGCTGCCCCAGAACGCCTCGTTGGAGATTTTTCTTTTTCCATTTTTTTCTTCCTGAGTATGGTGACGTGACCATACCAAGGTCCAAATGGACCAATCTGTGGAGCTCCTCACACACACACACACACACACACTCACACAGCCTTGTATTTTCTCAGCAGCAGCTTCGCTGATTTCTCAGCCTGAGACAGCGTGACACCGCGAAAGAGTTAATGTGGGTTTTCTCTGGAAGTTTTTCCTTGTACGATGTGAAGGTCTAAGGACAGAGGGTGTCGTATTGTCATACTGATATTCTGTACAAACTGTGAAGTCCACTGAGACAAATGTAACATTTATGATATTGGGCTATATAAATAAACATTGATTGAACATTGATTGATTGAATGTGTGTGCTCAGGCTGAGTCTCGCTGTCTCGCAGCAACCAGGAAACGATGCCAGTAAGCCAGCTCACACTGTCCGCACCTCGAGCAGCAGCGAGCCCCGCAATGTCCCGTCAACTCATATGGAGGGGGGGCAGGAGCTCCAACAAGGCGTTTAGGACAGAGAGTAATACACATACTATACAGAGTTGCTGTATGAGAAAACCAATGGGATTTTGGAACATTGAACAATGTAAATCTATTCTAGTAGACCTCAACAATGGAATTATGATCAGTAGAAATGGCCATGACATGGGACCTTTAATCTCAAAGTATCGTTACAAGAGAGAAACGTGTCGTCCTTCATGGAGCGTGTACTCACAGAGATGCTTGTGTCCTTGTTGAGCAGCACCTGCAGCAGGTGGGGGGGTAAGATGGGAGGATATTTGATCTTGTCTTCGGGCTTTATCACATATGCTTCCTGTAGGTACGGGCCAGGAGGAGAACTGGACAAGTCTGGGGAAGGAGTCACACACAAAACTGATTAAACCCAGCCATAGATACAAAATAATAATATATAATCAATTTCAATTCAACTTTATTTCCCACTCATTGGTCCATTTCAGTACAAAATGATTAAAGGGGCCATCTTGTGCTTTTCTATAATGCTTCTCTGTGTGTTGTATAGGTTTTTGTGCATGTAAACGGTCTGCAAAGGCTAAAATCCCAAAGTATCCCAACAAAAAGGAGTTTCTCTCCCACACAAAAACATAAAAAGATGATTAAGGTAACAATAGCAATACCTTGCGTCACTTTGTATTGGCTCAGTTATGAGAGCATTATTTAAAAACAATGATTGACACATACATTTGTACATAACATTTCTCATGACAGCATACAAAAAATAGAAACAATAAAAGTCATAAACATTTGACTTGCACTTACACAACATGGGAGTTAGAACTTGATTCTGAAATATAAAAAATGGTTATCTAAATCTTCATTTAAGTATTTAATATACCTGCACTAGATCTGTGCTATATAGAGTGGAGTACATTAGCTTTAAAGAGGGCTGTTTTAAACCCATCTGACCCACTTGAAATTAACGTGCCAGCATACTAGCTTCTGCATACATTTTGCAACAAATCATCATGATCCCATAGATCAATATTGATGTTGTGACCTTGATATCTTGCTTTGTTCACCACATTTCGGTCTGCCGGTCTAAAGGAAAGGTTTGCTTAGCCAGTACAAATTCATTGTTCAAGGTTTACTGCAGCAGATTAAGAGTAACACAATGTATTTGTTCTCTAATGGCATACTTTCTATATTTAAAGCAAATGAAATAACTTTTTAATAGTATCTGAACAGTCTAAAAGTAGTTGTAAATGAATTTATACCTGAGATATCTTCAGTGTCCTCTGAGTCGATCCTGAGGGCGTCAAAGACTTCAAAGTCAGTCGTCTTCACCTGGATGACATTATTCACTGTGCCAGTTTTAGAAGTCGTCACGGCCTATACAAAAAGAGTGTAATGTGATACAGACCCTTTAGATAGTGGAAAGGGCATTTCTACAAACATGGAAAAGTACAAGTAAAACGGTTATTTATAATGTAGGGCTGGGCAATTTATTGATATTGTGATGTGGGAAAAAGCTATCAACTTACAATATCAAAAATCTAAGATATGTTTTTTCTGGTTTTGAAGGTGAAGTGATGTCATTTTCATGATTTATCTGCATTTTCTAGCAGTTCTATTATTTACCTTTACCCGCTTAGTCAATAAATCCCAATTACTCATCATTATTTATACAAAATATCATTGTGATCTATGATTTCTTCATGTTGTATTATTATATATTAAACAAAAAGGTGGGCTACTTTAAAACCTCCACTCACCCCAGTAGGGTCCAGGGTCCACTGCCCGTCTACAGAGAACTTGTACTGGTGCTCTCCCTCCGGTAGATCCACAATAGCCACAAAGTTTTTTTGACTGCGTTTAAAAAGGAAACCATATGTTATATTTCCATCATAACAAACAAATCCAGGATTTACAAAGCCAGAGTCACACTACCTCTTGTTGAGAGGGATCTTGGTGGCCCAGTTGTTGAAGGATCCCGACACAAAGACCTCCTTGGCGGCCCCCGTCCACCTGAACACAGTCGGTCTGGCCTGAGTTGGACTCTTGCTTTCGCTCTCCAGGTCGTGCTGCCAGGCCAGAAACTCCTGGATTTCCTCTGGAGCCTGGACGGCATGATATCAATGTATTTGTGCCATGTTAATAATGAGATCACATGGACCATAACAACATTTCCTCTCTGAACAGAGGCAGCTGAAGAAGCAGTTTAGTGGTGTGTGTGTGTGTGTTTTTAATGCAATAAAAATGTTTATTTCTTGCAAACTCTTTGACTTTCAGCTAGTTTTGTGCACAATCCTCACAAGAGATGATTGGAACCATTATGGGAACATAATTGAAAGTGGAAAAGATGTGCAGATATAAAATAGGTAGCATGGAACTGAAATCTGCAAAACACAAAGACGTCCAATGTTATAGATATTTGAAAATGTGTTATTTATTTAAAGGTTTAATAACATACAGCCAGGTTGTTACAGGCACAACACATTTGCAGTGGTGTAAAGTAACTAACTACATATACTCAAGTACTGTACTTAAGTACAATTGTCAGGGATTTGTACTTTACTGGTATTTAATTTGTATTCTACTTCTTCCCCATTAGTTTTCAGCAATGAAGTGTATCTGCAAAAATACTCCTCAACAATTATTTAACACCTATAGATACTTTAATTTGGATTAATGATATGAAATATAAACACTTAAATAGGACCTTAGTTACATCTGGAGTAAAATGTACAAGCTACCCTGCAGTATACAAAGTCATTAAAACTAGCTGCACCGTTACCAGCTTTGATAAACACAACATCAATAAGTATAATAAAACATATCATATATTATTTTTGGGATGGGCCGATCTGCATAATGATTAGACTGTTGCTACTTTAAGTATATTTTGATGCTAATACGTTTGTACTTTTACCTGAGTAACATACATGCAGGAATTGTACTTGTAACAAAGTATTCCTACACTCTGGCGCTTCTACTTAAGATCTGAGTACTTCTTCCACCTGTGTACCTTTGTATCTTCTCGCTGGAACAGGTCTGCGTCCTCTGAGCTGTCCATCAGGATGTTGGGACGGGCCTCCTTGCCTCCCTGCTCCCTGTCTGACCTCTCACCCTGACTCCCGGACCTGTCACTGCTGCTGTTCCCCATCCTGCTGGCATCAGACACTGAACACAACACACACACACACACACACACACACACACACACACACACACACACACACACACACACACACACACACACACACACACACACACACAGTCAGCTGAGGAGGACCACTAGGTGTCAAATGACCACTTGAAACAAATGTTAGCAGCATATTTTGCTGTATCTATTTATAATAATCAGACAATGCAAATACTTACCTAAATCTTAACAGATGAGGTTTGATTGCATGTATTTTATCAAACAGAAGTCTTTGGTGTCATTGATTTCTGGTTGTAAACGCGTTTGTTGTCGCTGTTCCTGTCTTTTAACTGCAGAAGTTTCCTCAACAGCATTCAGGCGGAGGTGCGTTCACGGTCCCGCAGACACAAAAAGTCACTCGAGTTTTATTTGCGCTCTTCCCTTTTCCTTATTCCCTACCTTTACTTTTCCTGCTAATCTCCTTAGGTCTACTGCTCTTTGTGTGTTTTCGCCATTCAGAGGCAACCTCGCTTTGTTGTGTGTTTAGTGGAGAAAACACACCTCTTCCGCCTCCTGTCGTTCGAGACGACGCTGAAGTTGGCTTCCGATTCAGAGAATCCGATTCGGCAGTTAAGGGGAAAGTTAAGGGACATTTAATTTACAGAGCTGAGCGAACAATCCTCCGTGTTTGAACCTCTTAAATCGCTGCATAGCCGATTTATTTGGACTGGATTATCCCAGAGNTTGACATACTCCATACTGTGGGCAAACCCCACAGGAGTAATTTGGGGTGAAGTGTCTTGCCCAGGGACACAACTTCAAAACCCACTGCAGTCAGCATGTCGTTGTGTCCCTGGGCAAGACACTTCACCCCAAATTACTCCTGTGGGGTTTGCCCACAGTATGGAGTATGTCAATCGCTTTGGATAAAAGCATCTAACAAGTGACATGTAATGTAATTACGGGATACTGAGGGCTTGAGAAGACACAATCCTGGCAAAAAAAAGGTTGCTTTGGGACATCACAGTGGCCTGAATCATAGAGTAAATACCATTAGCTGTGATTACATTTTCCCTACTACAGACAACTCTATATCGCATGTTCTTCCCTCTCTCTCCCTCCATCACCTGCCATTTCTCTAACATCTCTGTCAACATTGGAATAGAGGCTTAAAAACAATAACAAAAGGAAGAGTGGTGCAATTCTGTAGTAGCCTTTGAAATGTGAGAAGGCTGCATACAGAAATGCAGATCTCTGCAGAAGCTGCGTTACAATAACCATTTGGTAATAGGTCACTTTTAATGATTCTTTCCTTAAAGTACAATCAGCTGGACAACTTTACCTTGACTTTTGTGATAACCTATTGTTTTACAGCTATTTACATGCGCACACACCTCAAGTTAGACTATCTTTGTCCTTCACTGCCACTTAAAAAACAACCTTGGGTTGTTCTTCAACATGGCTGGTAAACAATTAACTGAAAGATTATTGAGCGACCTCTTGTAAAGGTCAAGCCTGGTGGTTCTTTAGGGGTTATCATCAGTCACAAGACACAGTGCCTCTGGATTTCTGGTCTGACATGTCCTACTCTCTTCAGTGTCTTGAAATTGTCTGTGCTTGAGTTTGGGTGACTTTAGGAGGAAGTGATTGATGGATATTGACAGAAATATTGACCAAAGGAGGGAAAGTATTAGTAAGGGAGGCGTGTGGCACAGTGGAATCGTGCGTTGGTGTTCGGATCAGGGGAGCACAGGTTCAAACCCCACTGCAGTCAGCATGTCGTTGTGTCCCTGGGCAAGACACTTCACCCCAAATTACTCCTGTGGGGATTGTCCACAGTATTGAATAAAAGCGTCTAACAAGTAACATGTAATGTAAGTAATACACAGTTTGGGGTTAGGAGATAAAAGGCACAGGTTAAGGCAGATGCATGTACAATGACTGACCCAAAGATTCAATCTTCACAATTATAATTTTGAACCACACTAAGTCCAATAGTCCTAAACCCAACATTTGGCAGGTTTTCACCAATGTCTAACGTCGAATACAAACACAGAATCCCTTGTTTGGCTGTGTGATTCATGTGTGTAATGCCGCCTCACCTTGCAGCCCTCGCAGGCGTGGACTCCGTAGTGGTAGCCCGAGGCTCGGTCAGCACAGACCCGACACTCCAGATTGAGCGATGAGGAGGACGATGAGAAATCCTCTTGTCCCGCTGCCACCCCGTAAACAACGGAGGACGGGCTGGATGCTGGCGTAAGGGCATCTACAAAACACAAAGGAACTAACTGATCAAATTAACTCTAAATAGCAAAACAATCTTAAACCACTGAACTCATACACCCTCGTGCTACCGGAAACACTCTGTGATAAATGAACTTCAAATCATATACATTTTAAATATAGCTAATTCTCTAAATTATGATTATCTAAGATTTTTTATAGTTTTTTAGTTCGGCAGAGAAATAAAAAAACAGATATTTTCTTCTAATCTGTGCTTGGCAGAAGGGATAAAAGCACCTTGGAGCTTGTTTTAGTTGGAAAGGCTCATTTTTGTGCACAGACTTTCTCAACTAGTTTGGCCATTTGAAAGTGGGAACACTCATAGACTTTAAAAGGTACAAGTTCCATTGTTGCTGTAGACCTATAATCATTATCATGATCAGGTGTTTAGAGAATGAAAGAACTGTATATTTGCGTAACTTGTATGGAAAACTGAGAGAAGTGCTCTTTATAGCATTGAAATTCCTCACTTCTTTAAAGTGGACCTATCATGCTATATTTGAATAATATAGTGTCGGACCATACCTATTTAAGGCATATTTATACTTTTTATTTTTCAAAATACCAAACAGATCATGCATTTTAGCCATTCCTCATTTCGCTCAATTGAACACTGTCTTTGCATGGGCTGATTCTGTGAGAACAGCACCACCTACAGGCCTGGCATATGTACTACAGAGTCTCCAGCGCTTTCGAACGGCAATGTCCGTGGCTGTCTCCTCCTGATTGGTGGAGTTGGCCCATAGCCGTAGCACCACTTCTGTGACGTCATAGGAAGTGTTCAAATCTGATCAGTTCTGTATAGATCCGTTGCGCCCTTTTTTAGGATTTGGGCTCATGGCGGAAAAGAGAGAGGGTTGTGTTTTTCTGACACTGGTGGGGGGGGGGTTTTTTTCCCTGGAACAGCCGTCATGTTCATGTATAAAAGACGTAGAAAAGTGTTTTGCATGATAGGTCCCCTTTAAGATTTGACATTGTATGTTTAAGTGCATCTATCAAATGGCTCAGTAGATTTCTTCATGTGACCGAGAAACCCTTCTAACCCCTGACCTTTCCTATGGTCGAAATGATTGTTGTTGTGTAAGTTAATGTAATACTTTACACCAAGTAACCAATTGACAAACTTATCCTATTTGTTATAGCCTGCGTATATAGAGGTACATGTTGATCTTTCCACCATTAGCACAAGGTTTGCTCATATTGAGCAATGTATAATCACCACTACTACTAACTACTAACCTTAGTAGATGCATTCGTCTGTCGTCACCTCCCTTCCTGCAAAGAAACTAGTGGAATTTAAACTGCAGGCTTGACCATCAAAGACAGTCTGTTCCATAACAACATACTCAGAGATATTAGCAAGCCATCTGTGGTTGGACAGCTTGTCACAGGCATTACAGTGGTGGGGTAGTATTCCCTGATCTTGCTCGTGAAAAGCAGGTCGTAGGTTGCCCAACAGTTTTCTTTCACCTTGTGAGGAAACATGGTTGGTGAACTATGTTTGCTACAGAAATAGCCAACAGTTCTCCCAACCATGTTCCCTTCACGAAGGGTGGGAAAGAAAAACTGTTGGCAACCTACGACCTGCTTTCACGAGCAGATCAGTAATTACTACCCCACCCTGTAATGCCTGTGACAAGCTTCCCACACGATGGCTTGCTAATATCTCTTGAGTAAACAGTGTGTGTTATGGAACAGGACTGTCTTTGACGGTTCAAGCTGCAGTTTAAATTCCTGGGTTGCCTTGTGCAGAAGGGAAGGGCAGACAGAGATGCATCGTACTAAGGTAGTATAGTAGTAGTAGGTGATTTATTACCTTGTTCTCAATTGATTGCAACTTTGTGTCTAATTGGAAAGATCAACATGTATCCCTATATACTGCAGGCTATCCACGTATGATAATGTTTGTCCAATTGTTGTACTTGTTGTAAGTATTACATTACTACACAACAACATCATTAATTTGACATAGAAAGGTAGGGTGTGGAGGAGGGTGTCTGCTCACATGAGGAAATTCTATGTCCATTTATAATGCGACTCTAAACATCAAAATATGGTTTCAATCTTAAAGGGGGACCTTCGGCAATGCACTTTTCTACGTCTTTATACAATGAACATGAAACGGTGTTCAGGGACTCACCAAAGTGTCGAACACAACCCTCTCTCTTATTCCTCCATCCCAAATCTCTAAAAAGGGGCTGCAACGGTCTGATAAGACTGATTCAGATTTGAACACTTCTATGACGTCACAGACAGTGGTGCTACGGCTATTGGGGGCCAACTCCACCAATCAGGAGGAGACAGCCACGGACATTGCCGTTCGAAAGCGCTGGAGACTCTGTAGTACATATGCCAGGCCTGTAGGTGGTGCTGTTCTCACAGAATCAGCCCATGCAAAGACAGTGTTCAATTGAGCGAAATGAGGAATGGCTAAAATGCATGATCTGTTTGGTATTTTGAAAAATAAAAAGTATAAATATGCCTTAAATAGGTATGGTCCGACACTATATTATTCAAATATAGCATGATAGGTCCACTTTAAAGAAGTGAGGAATTTCAATGCTATAAAGAGCACTTCTCTCAGTTTTCCATACAAGTTACGCAAATATACAGTTCTTTCATTCTCTAAACACCTGATCATGATAATGATTATAGGTCTACAGCAACAATGGAACTTGTACCTTTTAAAGTCTATGAGTGTTCCCACTTTCAAATGGCCAAACTAGTTGAGAAAGTCTGTGCACAAAAATGAGCCTTTCCAACTAAAACAAGCTCCAAGGTGCTTTTATCCCTTCTGCCAAGCACAGATTAGAAGAAAATATCTGTTTTTTTATTTCTCTGCCGAACTAAAAAACTATAAAAAATCTTAGATAATCATAATTTAGAGAATTAGCTATATTTAAAATGTATATGATTTGAAGTTCATTTATCACAGAGTGTTTCCGGTAGCACGAGGGTGTATGAGTTCAGTGGTTTAAGATTGTTTTGCTATTTAGAGTTAATTTGATCAGTTAGTTCCTTTGTGTTTTGTAGATGCCCTTACGCCAGCATCCAGCCCGTCCTCCGTTGTTTACGGGGTGGCAGCGGGACAAGAGGATTTCTCATCGTCCTCCTCATCGCTCAATCTGGAGTGTCGGGTCTGTGCTGACCGAGCCTCGGGCTACCACTACGGAGTCCACGCCTGCGAGGGCTGCAAGGTGAGGCGGCATTACACACATGAATCACACAGCCAAACAAGGGATTCTGTGTTTGTATTCGACGTTAGACATTGGTGGAAAACCTGGCAAATGTTTGGTTTAGGACAAATAATGGAGTCTGGGGTTCATAAATC